AAATGATAAGTATGATTAGTCTTGTGAAGAGTTAGAAGAATCTAAGTATTGAAAAACTATTTAGGGGATAAGATTTAATGAAGTATAATTTTTTTTTAGTTATAATGTTTGACATTGATGATTTAGAGACTTGTTATTTAGTTATTTAGTTATTTTATAGAGATTAAAACTTCTTGAGTACCTTATTTTATTTGAGGATTTTTCGATGATTATATAATATGCTTCGTATTATTTTGGGTTTTTACTTCAAAGTAATATGATCGTATTATATTTCGATATCGAAGCATGACATTTTGTTATTATTTTAATTGATGTATTATGTTTCAAATATAAAAACGTAATGCTTTCTAAAATAAAAATAAAAATTAAAAACATAAAATTACATCATTCTACTATGTTTGTTCTTTTAAAAATGTTTTTATTTTATATAATATACGACATGCCCAATTGTATGCTAGGTGTTCAATCGTGTGGTTAAGATTGCACATTTGCCAATTTATAGTTATGAATGCCCATTTTCATGTTAGAATGGATCTTCATTGATCATAAAATTATGTTGATTTTCAAGAGTAAAAGAGACAAAAAAATTTATTATTGAAGTTAAATGTAGGATAAATTTATTTTCCTCCCAAAATTTTAAAAAACTACAAGAATATGAGAATTTCTAATTATGGCATATTTGAACACTGTTAGAAATCTTAAAATATCTTCAAAAATCAGACATTATGAACCAAAACATAAGAGTTACTTTACGAAAAGTAAAATTTTGAGAATAATCTAACTTTCTTTCTAACCAAACGTACCCTTAGGGGATTGGATTTTTTTTTTTTTTTTTTTTTATCTTAGTGTAATATAGATTTAGTAGATGGGAATTAAAAAGCAAAAAGTCAACAATTGTGGCAAAGTCTGATACAATTGGGATGAAATCAAACCATGGTGAGGTACGATTACACCCCTTAAAATCTTCCAAAGATGCCACACATTCATTTGGATGTTGAAGCTGCGTATCAGTTGGGGACTTTAACTTCCAAATTTCCATTGGTGAATTTTGGTCTAGTGAGGTAATGGCGCTCATTTTTTTTCTTTACCATTTTTTTTTTCCTTTTTTACCCAAAATTGTCCTTACCATTTAACTTCTCTTTTTTATTTAAAAATTATGAAATAAATTTATTAATTTAATATAATAAATAGTTTTTATTATATAATAAATTAAATTTATTATTATATTATGATTTCATTATATATAATTTTTATTTAATATACTTAATGGTTATTTTTCTTTTCACTATAACTTATCTAATCTTATCATTGTATTTGCATCCAAATATATGTTTTCATCATTAATTTTAATTTTATCACTATAATAGATAATCAAATCTCCACCGTAATTTTTAATATCATAGAAATCAATCTTATCGTCCATCCAAATTGACCTTTACTCATATTAAACCCATGTATATATTATAAGGGAATTTGTGGTTGTGAAAACCTTTTATTATTATTATTATTGTTATTATTTTATATATGATAGGGATTTTTAGGGAAAGAGATTATAAGTGTAATTATTTAAAATTTAAATTTATTAGATATTATCTTATAAAATTGATTACATGAATTGATTGAGCTAAACTTTAAATTTTACTTTGTGATATTTCATTGTAATGGGAAAATTTGTTGACAGACATGGATTATGGAAGGGAAAAGAAAAGGGTAAAAATAAAAACATAAAACATGCAAGAAATTTGAAATTAAAGAGTTGGGGACACGTGAGCCCATGAGCTGTTGGCTGCTAAGACAAGTTTCTAAATTGGGGGACGGCTGGCTTTTGGTTGTTGCCCATTAATTTGTTATAATGGTGCTTTCATTACCCTCTTGATCATCAAAGATGGCTCATCTAATTGATGTAGGTTTGGCAATTCTCCCAACTCTAAAGCTATCTTAATAGTCTATTACAGCTCTCCCATTAGAAAAAAAAAAAAAAGAAAAAGAAGAAGAAGAAGAAGAATTTACTATTTTACAGGGTAAAATGTGGAATTGAAATCCTAAATTCCTTTTAAAAAAAAAAAAGAAAAAGCATTTACTAGTTTTTTTTGGATAAAAGGTAATTAAAATCTTAAATTTCTATTCCTTCTATCCTAATTAAATTGTCACAAATAATTTTTAAACTTTGACCGCAATTATTATAAACACTTTAATTAATTAAATTTTATAAAAATATATTTAGAAATTACTTTATTCCAAAAAAAGAAATACTTCATTTAAAGTTTTTTTAAATATATTTTTTATTTTTTTATCAAAAATAAATATAAAATAATAACAAGTCAAATATTGACAAAAAATCAAAATATGATAATTTAATTGGAGCAGAAAAACTGAAAAAGCATTAAAAGTCTAAAATTCTCTTTCTCTTTATCATCTGAGTTGTTATAACCCACAATTGACCACTAATTTTACCAATGGTCCAAAAAATGGCAACATTTGTTCACAGTTTGATGCTAATTAGAAGTCAAATTTCCAATATCAATTGAGCATTTCATCAACTTTTTTTAGGTCCCAATCAAACCAATTAAACAATACACACTGAAAAAAAAAAAAAAAAAGAAGATGTTTTAAATCTTATAAGTTATTCAAGGACCATCCTTTTTTTTAACTTGAGATGACTGAAGATCCATGTATGTGTGGAGCTGAACATGGCAATTTTCTAATGAAAAAGAGATGGAAAATGAAGATAAATATGCAATATTCATGGACAACAAATTTATTCCTTCAATTAACTTTTGTCAATATCTTTTTCATAAGATTTTTATTCTTGTAGCATGTGGCTACAAGAGTGTGGAGCTTGGCTTTCACCAAAATGCATCACATTTTCACTATCATAAAAGAATGTATATCGAGAAAATTTTATCATCAATAATTATTGATGGAATACCGATACAATCCCGATAAACTAACACACATGACAACAAGATTTTTCTTATAAAAAAAAAAAAAGCTTGAATCAAGGTTAAAAGAAACACATACATCATTTGACTAAAAGAAATATCACCTTGTTATCTATACATTGAGAAAGGGAATTAAATTAAACATCTTTTGGTGTGTGTTTGATTAATTAAAATTTTTGGAGGAACAAAGGTGACCAAGTTGTAGTTAGAATGTTTGATCATCAAGGTACATCTTATTCTTTAAAAAAAAATGTACTTAACCCTTCACTACAAACATTAAAAAAAAAAAAAAAAAACTTGCACACACACAAAGAAAGAGAAATCAAAGAAAATTGACCCAAAAAAAAGGGCAAAAAGAAGAACACAAACAATGTTGGAAAAGTTGGATTGCAAATAAAGTTATTTTACATGATGATTTTTCCTAGTCATGCACATGCTATAATAAATAAAGCTACTTGGCTTGGAGATAAGGGCAACGAATATTCCTTTATTCTGTATTAAGAGAAGATAACTCATTGGGAGGCAACCTTTGGTTGGCGACAAAAGCAAATAAGTGCAACATGATAAAGATCAATCAATTTGATTTGGTCAAAATATGCAATTTTGTTGAATTGTTTTCAAAATAAATTTTAATTTTAATTTAATTGATTTATGTAATTATTTTAAAAATAATATTCAACAAATGATTTCATTTGTATTTTATTTTAATTAATATTTTAATTATCTTTAATTAATCTTTATAAATATTAGTTAATCGAACTTTGAGAAAAGTTAAAAAAAAAAATCCATGTAAATACTTCTCTAATTTCATAGTTCAGTTTAGTCTCTGTGTCCTTCACTCTAATTAAAGGGATCCTTGTAAGGTTGATAATTTATTTCGGTATTAGTTATATCGGTCAATACATTTTAATAATATTAAAATATGATATATTTAATAATAATTTTTTATTTTAAATTTGATATTAAATAATATTAATTATTTTTATAGATTTTAATTGATTTCGATGAATACTAATGAATTAATCATTTTCGATTATGAAATATGATTTGTAATTTTATAATTTATTTTTTATTTTTTTATTATTTTTAACCTAATAAAAATTAATAAACAAAATAAAACCCTTAAAAATTGACACTAGAACCCTTACAAATTGAAACTAGAGCCGCATCTCTTTATTTTTTATAACAACTTTCTTTTTACATCTTATTTTTTCAAATAAAAGGATTATACATATTTCAATCTCTTTTTTTTTTTTAAAAAAGAAAACAAATCTCTAAAATTTAAGATTATTTTCTTTTCCATCTCTTTATTTTTATGTTAATATATTTTTACATGAAAAATATTTATTTAAATATCATATAATCAGATTAAATATTTAAAAATATATTAATAAATTAATGATATTAGTTTTTATATTTTTAAAAATTTTTATTTAATATTTAAAAATATTATATATTTATTTACATATTGTTGACGTTATTATATAAAAGTTTAGCTATATTTATTAAATAAATAATTTAAAAATTATATTAAAATAATTGAAACCAATTATATATATTTTTTTTAAATAAAAAATTATTCGCTCTGATATTGTTAGCCTTTTTTTTTTTTTAATTTGTTAAAGGAGAATGAGGTTAAAGTCGAATTCCAATCTTAAAGTATCGACCCACACGCACTAAACACGTGTAGAAACGCGCCTTGGGGAGTGGGGTTGACAAAGACAGAAAGGGTTGTTAGGTGTAGGAAGAAGTGTTAAATGCAAGGGTGGGACCTGTCTTCTAGATTCCAGCATGATTGAGCGTCTGGACACTACATTGAGACATTTTGCACATCACTCTCACTGAATTGTTGCCTCTCATTGCTTTTCTTTCTTGCGTGGCTTGCCTATAGCTTTTCGATTTTGGTATCCCACGTTTTACGTGCTTTTAATTAGATTTAATAATTTTAAATATAATAATACGATATAATAAAATAAAAAATTTTAATTTAAAATTTTAATAAAATTATATATAATTTTAATCGCTCGAGAGAACCCTTGTTTGCATGTTCATTTTTATTTTACATTTCACTGTCTTAGCAAAGTAATCGAGCAAAAAAAGCTAAAAGAAAAGCAAATTACTTTAACGATGAAAGAAGATGGTAGTATGAAGTTCAATTTTTGGGAATAATGAAAGGAAAGAGTGGACATAGCAATTTTCAATGCTTACTAAACAAGTATTGGAATTTGGAAAACTGGAAAGTAGTTTAAGGGAAAAAAATAACGCTTTTTTGTGCTCTCTTAAAATGGCAACCACAAAAGCTCCTTGCTTCCATGGAGTTTGGGACATAAACACATCATTTTCGCTGAGCTTCTTGTGTTGTATCTGCCTGACTGTCTCTCTCTCACCATTTCTTTGTACCATTGCTTCACTCTAGACCGCTAAAGTACACCTCTTTCTCTCTTTTTTTCTTTCTTTCTTCATTTGTCATAATCCTTGAGCAACTTTTATTTAACTTTTTATATAGTATATTTTTTTTTGTGAACTCAAGTAAAGAGCTTTTTCTTCTTCAAGTGTCTGGGCTATTTACTGTTGTTTTGCAGTTGTTTTCATTCTGTGTTACTTGTTTGTACTCTTGCTCTTGCATTTAGCATTAGTTCTTTTGTTCCTGAGCTTTTACTTGATTGAATACAAGTGGGGTTGTCATATAATTCTTAGAGCTGTTTATTGTTTTGGGTTTTCTCTTTTGTTTTTGTGGTTAATGCATTTGGCTATCAAGACTTGAACTTTCCATAAATTTGGTGCTACAAAGGAGAATTTGATGGGTTTCTTTGCTTGTCTTGATCTTGATTCTTCAAGTGGACTTTCCTAGCTAATGTTGCAGCGTCCATGAAGAGTTGCTTTTGAGACTTACCTGAGGTTTTGGAGATCAACATGTTATAGTGAGAAGTTAAGAAAGATAGCTTTTTTGTGTTTTTTCTTGAATTCAACTAGGTTTAATCTGTACTTGGGTGCTTCTGTTGCATGTAATGGAGTCCTGGAGTTATGTTTCAGGGGAGAAGGGGTCTGTAACTGATGCAGAAATTTCACCTTCTGATTCTTATGCAAGAAATAGAAGTGCCTTTATGAACTGGGAGTTAAAAGGTCCATATAGTTTTAGTAACAACATGCTAGTCTCCGGACAACAAGCCACTGAGAATCATGCTTTTGGGGAATTGGGGTATGGAGAATTCATGGGAAAACAGTTACCTAATGATTCAATTGGGGATGTTTTATGTAGCAAAGTTAGTGGGGGAGGAACTGTAAATCCAATAATGGCTACCCTCAATGCCTTTTCTGGGGTTGATGAGTCTACTTCGAAGCTTTCAAGCTCTGTTGTGGACTCTAATAGTCGGGATTCTTCACTGATAGATTTAACGCTGGGAAGATTTCCTGATCATAGAGATGGCCAAAGTTCTAGTTTTTCTATAGGAGCCCCCATTTTATCTTCATCTGAGTCATCTACACCCCCCAAAGGAGTTCGAGCAGCAGGAGTAAATTCTCATCCCGCCTATTGCCAAGTTTATGGTTGTAACAAGGATCTGACTTCCTCAAAAGACTACCACAAGAGGCACAAAGTTTGTGAGGTTCATTCAAAAACTGGAAAAGTTATTGTTAATGGAATTGAACAACGGTTTTGTCAACAATGCAGCAGGTCAGTTTTGCTTATAGAAGTCCTTTTGTGCTCCTTCAATTAATACGAAATAACATAGAAAATAAAACCAAAAAGAAAAAACAAAACTCTTCTTGTCTATTTAAAAAATATAGTAATATTCACAGTTTTTTTATCCCTATTACCATATCATCTCATCAGTAAAACAGGGTGTCTGTGACCTTGGAATTGTTCCAGTTGGATATGTTGTTCTATCTTGAATACAGTTAATTTATATTGGATTTTTTCCTGGTCTTGCTTCTCATGTTGCCATTCATCTTTTTAGGGTGCGGGTGGGAAGGGGGGAAGGGAGTGTCTAATGTTCCGTCAATCTTTCTATGTCCTAATTTCTTGGGATGGATTGCCTGTATAAACGTTTTTGCATTGTTGCTTCATTTTAATTGTCAGGCTGGTGTATAGACATATTGTTTCTACTCTTTTTTTAAAACAAAATCTATATTTTATTGGGAATCCCAATAAATATTGTTGAAGGTCAACTTTGTTATCATAGAACTTGGCTTAGTTACCATGCTTGGGCCTCATTCCTGCTATAATATGTTCTACCTTTTGACCATCCAGGTTTCATTTGCTGGCTGAATTTGATCATGGTAAGCGCAGCTGTCGTAAACGCCTTGCTGGCCACAACGAGCGGCGGAGAAAACCTCAAGTTGGTATTCACTCAGGGAGAACTGGAAGGTTACTTGAGCAATATAATGGTATTAAACCCACATCATACATGATTTCATTCATTCATATTATCTGTGTGTGTAGAGTTGGGGGAAGATACACCTTGCTCATGCTTGATTGGGTATAACAAATAATGCGTATATACGTGTTTGACCTGCAATTTCATACTTCCTTAACACCTTGGCAGCATATTAACATAAAAACGTAGGTTTTGTTGCTAGGCTAAAACTGAGGAGATTATCTGGAACTACTAGGAAGATTGCTAAAGATATAATGGTTTGCTTATCTTGTTTTGTGAACATAAAAAATTGAATTGTTTTTAATTCTTTGATTGATATTTCGGTTGAAAAAACTTTCAAATTTTAGGTGTAGTCTAATAATTTGCCACTCTTATGGGTTTCCATGATGCTAAGCATATGAAATTATTTGTAAAGGATGACTTCTTTGTCCCTATTTTTGCATTTCTGTTGGTCTCATGAAATATCTGTGAATTTTATATATTATAAATGCTCCCAATATTATGCAGGCTTTGCAGGTGGCAGATTTCATGGGACTATGTTGTCAACTACGTCCTTTATTTGTAAAGGTTTACTACCTAGTGGCCGTTTGCATGCTGAGAAGTTTGTAACAAATGAATGGGCCAAGCAGGTAAAAGTCGAAGATGGGCCTGATTATATCCCTCTTTCTGCCATTCCCATCGTGAATGGCCATTTTCCTTCAAAATCCTCCTACTCTGCTAGTGGTATTGAGAAACTGTTTACCTCTTTTCATGATAATGGAGCTAATATAGCCACTGGAGGCATTTCGGGTGAGAACAATGCACGATATCCTCATGATTTTGGTGGTCCAAATTCTGGATCACACCCTTTATTCCAAGGCACCCCGTTAAGAAATGAAGACATCAGTGATTTTGATGCAACATCAACCATTCGAGGATTATCTGGGATTTCAGATTCTTCTTGTGCTCTCTCTCTTCTGTCATCTCAATCGCAGAACTCTTCAAGCCACTCATCAGGAATTCCCATGAGTCGTTCCCTGGTCATTCCAGGCAGCCAGGCCCATTACAACATGAGTCAAGTCTCAGAAAAGCTCATTGGAGTTAACTCACAGGCTTCGACTACTGGGTTGTCAAATAAGTTCTCTTCACCAGGGATGAATTCAACTGAAGGGAGTCACTTGGGTTCCCTACTAATATCTGATGGTAGTGAAGCTGCCAACTTTGGTATATGTGATGGGATTTACCAAGGTTCAGAATTTATAAATACCAGGGATCGCCTATCATGCGAAGAGGGACCAACAATTGATTTGCTTCAGCTTTCATCACAGCTTCAGTGAGTGGAGCATCAAAGACAATATATGCACAGGTAAAGCAGGAAGATAAGGCTTTCTGCTACCGCCGAATCACTTGAGTACAGATCAAATAAGGTAAGTAAAGATGTTTAAATGTTCATTATCATGTATCTTTGTTGACATGATGCCTATATGAATATCTACTTGAAAATGAAAGGTGGAAAATGTAAACAAGATGAAATGTGGATGCTCTAGGGTCTATTCTTTTTTTTTTTTCCCTAATTAAGATCATTGTCATATGATACTTCTAATAAATCATATACCTCATTGAAACTGCAGCAGAATCATTTGTCATAAGATACTTCTAATAAATCATATCCCTCATTGAAACTGGAGTAGAATAGCTATAAAACAAATTTAGCTGAAAGTATGAGTGAGTTTATCAGTAGGACTTTGAACTGCTATTCGGTATATAAATTGAAAATGACTTAAGCTGATGTGGTCTCCCTGAAGCTAAAAGTGTCAATAATTGCTTAGAAGTGCCATTATTTTACTTGGTTGATGGTGGTTATAGGCAGTGAATTACTTAGCTAAAGCAAAAATTATATTGGCCATAGAGAAAACAGCGTGAAAAGCAAAAAAGTTGTGGTGCCAAAGGTGATCTGAAATTGGTTGAGACCATAATGATGGGCAACAAATTCTTGTCTGAAATAATGGAATTGGGATCATATGGCATTGAAGCTGCAATATTGTGCAGCCAGATGGAATTTATTATGTGAACAAGGGATGTGGGGGAAAATAAGGGGTGGAAAAAACAGAAACAGTGAAAGGCAAATCATAGAAACTTAATTAGGTAGCATGAAAAAAGGGAAAACAATGAAATAAATGCTTTAAGTTTGTCCAAAACAATGAAATCGTAGGCATTCTTTTTCATGCCTTTTCCAGTGAACCAAACAGGCTGTTAATCTCCACCACACTCCTTTTTCCTTCTATGAAAAGAATGAGATAGTTAGGAGCATGTATGGTAGTACATCAACTTCATCTCTACTTGAATGTATCATTCATTTTTGTCATGCTAAATCCAGATATGACTCGCATACCCCATATCAAGTTAATGATTATTATGTATCTCAAAATGAGTTTTTTTTTAATCATTTTTGCTAGTCTCAGTGTTAATAATGCGAGCACATATTTATGCACCACTTCACGAATTTAAACTAACTGCTGCTTTATTTATCATTCTTCTACCTTCGAATTTGTTGGACGGTTGGACTTGCAATGACAGAGGAGCCCATTGTGCTAAAAGATGCGCTGTTCCGAAGCTCAAGAGTAATATAAATGGAAGCATTAGGGAGAGCAAACATGAGAAAGTTCAGATGCTAATCAAACTTTCTCAGCTGCTGCTAACAGTTTTCTATTTTTTTTTTTTTTTTTTAAGATTCAGCTGGACTCTGTTTATATAACCATGAAGTCATTCCCTCCTCAGAAGTGAATAATAAATGACCCAAGGTCATATCCACATTCACTTATATGTCTCCTAAAATGCTTTTCCGTTCAATGTTATTTGAACAATATCATCAAGTCTGGCCTTTACATGTAATTTTCACTAATTAATAAGACACCTAACACTTGGATTCCAGTAATGTTTGTGGTTCTTCTTTACATGCTCTAGCAGTTGGATTCCTATTATTTTTTTATAATGCAGTCAGCCAGTCAGGCGTATTCACAGGCTATTCCTAAGCCTAATCCCCTCCTTGGGCAATCTTAACGGCGCACTCCCTCGTATCGGCTTGATGTATTTGAGATTTTACTCTCGAAGTAGTTCCCGTAATGACTGAACCCGAGTTGACGAGGGTATTTTCTTCTTACCAACTAGACTAACCCATGTGGGTGTTCTCATTAACTTGTTCCTCTTCAAATGCTCATAACACTTGGAATTCTTACAATCCAAGTCATAAGTTTCAAAGGAATTTGCTTGAGATTATAATTTTGTATTGCTTATGGATGTTAAGATAAAAAAAAACTACAACGCAGGAAGCAATTCTAAATGCCCACTGAGTTACTCATATTAGTCAATTGTGTCCATTGTTGAATACCAGTAATTTTGAGACCCTGCTGAAAGTGATGATGTCAGCAAGATTTCTAACATCAATATTACAAAAGTAAGGTTTTAATACTTATATCCTTCTCTGGTGCCTAATTCCTACCAATTGATTTCACAAATATATCAGACAATTCAAAAAGATAAATATCTTAACAATTGTCATCTATGACATGAACTTAAGACATTCTACTCTCGATCTTACAGTTCCATATGAATTTTATCATGTTACTCGAACGTGGGGTCATTGTTGGATTTATATATATATATATATATATATATATTTTAAAGGATTAATGGTCTGTTCATCAAATATGTAAATAATTCAAGAAAAATAAATAGTAAAAGCAACAGATTTTTTTATGCACGGAAATAATCTTTTAACCATTTGTTTTGGAGAAATATGGGCACGGCCTACTTCTAGTAAATTTGTCGGTGAGTGAAGAGATGCAAAGGCCAAAAGGCACAGAATTGATATAATGTCGGTGCTCCATGTTACTTTTGCCTTAAAAATTAAGATGAAACATTTTGGTTGTCATCCCTAGAAAGAGAAAATTAAAAAGAAAATGACAAGAAAAATTTTTCCTTTCTTTATCAGGAGACAACGGGACCAAAATCCAAATTAGCCGGATGATCACAATGGTTTCAATAAGTCAAGAACAACGAGATCACAGTGTTTTTTTTTTTTTTTTTTGTGTGTGTGGAAATCAAATGCTTTGCTGGAACATCATTGTCCATGCATTGCTCAAGGAAAAAAGATGGGGTTGGTGGAAGCATATGGAACAAGCACATGAAAACACATGAAAAATCGAAATTTATGGGGGCAATGCATACGAGAACAAACAGCTTGTGACACTTACAAGATGACTTTATGAGATTATGAAAAGATTCTGTGTAGCCTTCGCTCACATTTTATCTGCCGGCATAATTTACCGTCTCATTCTCACTGTCTGCAGGAAATTTGGCGGAAATATCGACATGAATTGGCGATTACGCTACTAATGCTGATCCCAAAAATGGTTGACAAATAATTTGTCTGTGCTATAGAAGATAAGACTTCGATGTGGCTGAGGTCGAGAAGGAAGCTCGAAAATAACAACCGCTAAGCCTAAATTGTTGTTTATGCGTTCTTTTTTGCAGTTTAGTATCTCCATTGTAGCCTTCTGCTACATCTCATAACTTGCTATTTTATTGGGTTTACTATTGTCATCTCATCATAGCCGATAGCTGATAAAGATTGATTCCATAAAATTAAAATGATGACGATGATATTTGTTAAGATTGAATATTATAATGTTGATATTTAAATAAATAATTAAAATGTGCTTGAATACAAATATACCAGTAATGGTGAAATTATGGCAGTTGATTGTTTCATCGAAGACAATCAACTGTCATAATTAAAAAACGTACTCTAAAACAGTCGACTGCTCTAACATCCGGTAAACCAATTGTCCTAAGATCCAGTTGTTTACTGAACCCTTCTCCTCGTACCTGTAACTAGAGAGGAAGTCAAGCCAACTCCATCGCGAGATGTTACACCAATATGTGAGATTCCCAATTATATCTCACCATGCAATGCTGTACAAATGTACCTAATGATGGAGTTAGCCTCAAAAAGAAGTTGCAGTGCGATGGACTCTTAATTGTTTCCTTCATTTGCTTTGGCAGGAAGTGAAGACAAATAAATACTTCAGGATTGCTGCACTATAATTAGGTATGGGTGGAATCATCATTTGTCTTGCTGACAAGTACAACCTGCGGTCCAAGTTAGATGAACCGATCAGGAACAATCAGTCAGAAACTTGTTAGACAAATCGGTTTCTGGTGTCAAGTTCCAACCACAATTTCCCCCGTAATTGAACAAAATTAACTTGATCCTTTCGGCTATCAAATGCCCATCTACCATGATTTCATCATTCAACAATGACTCTCACCTTACATTGACTCGTTGAAGAAGCCTAAAAAGGATAACAACGCCTTTACCCTTTCAACTTATCATTCAGAAGAAAGAAAACTTCAACAGAAACCAACAGAAAACAAGAAAGGAAAAACACTTTATCAAATAAATCTGTAACTAAAACTTTTCGAAAGGCAACAATCTCAATCACAAATCTAATACAATACATAAGCCACTAATTTCTTATTATTCTAAACTCAGTGGTATTATAAATAAAATTATATCCCCCAACCTGCAAAATAAATATTCCAAGCTTTAATGCAAGAGCTCGGACAAAATCGATGATCACGGTACAAGCCTAGGGCTGCTAAACGAAAATGCTGGCTGTTTACTGAAGAAGTTTACTTCCCAGCATTGAACAACTCGGCAGATTTAGCACCTGTTGGATTCAGCTCATCCCATGCTTCAATCCATGTCACCATAGCATCAGCGAGCTTGTTGAAGTACTCATCAACCTTGCCAAGTTTTTCCTTGACCTGCTTGGAGAGTTCAATGTAGCATTTCTGAACGGTGGAGCAATCCTTAGGAAGGGTAACAGACTGGAAGAATGGAATCAATTCTTCTTGCCAGTAAATTCCTTTGTATTCCTTCTTAAGATTCACAAAAGGGTTGCTGGCTTTGCTGTGCCAAATGTAAGGCAATCCAGACTTCACTCCCAACCCTAGGTGATCACATATAACCTGTGTGTGGAGACGGGCTATTAACAGCTGCAGCTAAATACATTGCTTATCTATAGCCATAGACACTATAATAGCAGCAGATTGATAGCACAGAAGATGAGGGTAGAAGGTAGAAAGAAAGATAAGATACCTTGGTACACCAGCCTGCCCACATATCATCGTATCGTCCAATTGGTTGACCATCACCCATGAGCCCAAAGTACATTGCAGGGCCAATTAATTCACGGTTGAATGCCAGATTCATACCACACATGGGAAAGAGGGTTCCCTTTGTTATTGTCATAATAGCATCAACGTACCTGATAGAAATTAGAAATAGGATTTAGGCTTCATTTAAATGAGTACATATGTAGCGCACAATTTGAAGGTTTATATATACCTGGTGTTCCTCTCAAGAGGCTTGACAAGCTGAGTTGGTGCATCATAATCTGGGATGTTGAGCCAGAGGCCATGAGACACAGCAGTGGGTACACCCTCACGGAGACTGAATGGGTACCCACGAACAAAATCTGCACCAGCTCGGTATGGGTCATAGAGAGTGTTAAAGAAAAATGGAGTTGAAGGACTCAGAAGGTTCTTTATGTGCTGCTCCAATGCATTGATGTCCTTTCCAGATGGATCTTTAGCAACCTGTAAAACAAGCATCTTCAAACTTCAGATTTACATATATGTCAAGGAATAGAATAGACTACCAGAAAAGATAAGAACATTTCATTGTCAGATCTCATGAAAATGAATCCAAGAAGAATTGATAAAACACTTGCACAAGACGGATCCAATCACTTGTAAAACAATGAATGCAAAGAGAAAACTGCTAAATCTCAAGCACATTCTAAAATATCAGCTCCAGATAGTCAAAACTGATATCCCAAGCACCTAGAATGCATTTTGGTTACCTGTGAAATCAATCAAGCAAAACAATTTCATCACTTCAAACCAGACGGATAATACGTAACACCAAATTTTGATCCGAAAACCGACCCATATTTCAAATTTTACAATCAAACTTAAGAAAACAACAAAAGACCATTTTTCAATAAATTATTAGGAAAGGCTGCTAACAGTCTAACATAACATCAGGATCACCAAGCAAATGAGCAATGGCTGTGAAAAGCCAAAGAGGCACAGGTGTCTCTCATTACATAAGGCTTAACATTAGTAAATGAGTAAATGTACGATCACTATCTCAACAACTTAAATCAAAGCAGAAATCTATTGAAAACGTATCAGGAAAAGCAGATCAATACATGTTATTTGCAACACTGTGGAAGCAGATGTGTAACTGACGGAATTATGATTTAGTAGGAATAAAACAAAAACAACAATTGCAGATCCAAATAGCAAATCAAGATGGGGAAGTACCACCAAATTACATTTTTTAAAAAAAGTCTCTTCAAAAATTTTTAAGTCACCAAAATACCAAACAAAATTCACAATTCCGAAATCACGTCAAGATCCAAAACTTAAAACCCACGTGCAAAACAGTTTAAATAAATAAACTCAATTTCCAATTCAAAAAATTGACTCAAATCCAGATCTCCAAAACCAAAAACACCCACATAAATTAAAAAAAAAAAAGATAATATCAAAACTTTTCTTCAACAAAACCCAAAATTCAAAAAGAGGAAAGAGATGAGTGTTGAGCTTACAAAGCAGTCATCATCAATGGTATAGATGTACTTCTTCTTCGAAACCATGTAACCAAAGCACCTACAAGCAGAGTCCTTGAAAGAGATACAAGAAGCCTTAGGACCCAAAATCTTGTTGATATCGTTCCTGTTGTAAAGCTCATAGTCAAAGCCTGCAGGAACCTTGATGGTCTTTGAAGGATCACCATCTTGAACTATGATGAGATGGTAAGGCAGGAAAAAGGGTCTCCACATCTCCAAAAAGTCCAAGTTCCGAATGGTTGGAATCACGATGTCAAGCTCATCCTTCAACAGCGGGGTTGGTGAGATAGTCGCTGGCTGGGCCATTGGAGAAAGCTTGGACTTGCAGGCAGAGCAGAGCAAAGCAAGGCAACCAAGAGAGAGAACGGTGAGGATTTTGAGAGGTAAAACGAGAGGCGCTGGCTTTATAATGGAGAGGGATTAGCATGCGTGGCACGTGCGAAGAAAAGAAGGTGACTTTGTTAACCGCACAACTGGATTCAGGCTGCATGTTTCCCGTCTTCGTGGGAAAATTATTAGTGTAGGAGATTGGGAGTATTTTTTTTTTCTACATATAAAAAAAATTATTATTTATTGCAAATTTCAGCTTTATTATTTTTTGAAAATTACAATAATTTAAGAAAAACCAATTAAAATAGTAGTAATTAATTCTTGAGTTATTATAATAAGGTTTTTTTATAGTTAAAATTACCAAAAATTCAATACTAATCATAAGAATTAAAATTTAATATTTTAATTGACTGATCTTTGTATCAATTTTTATGACATTTAAAAATTACGAATTATGTGTAATATCAATTTCAATTAAATAAATATTATCATAAAAGTTCAAAGATAAATTAAAATTTTCAAAAAAAAAAATCCTAACATTCTATATATATATATATATATATGTTTACTTATTTATTATCAATCTTATTTTATTCGGAGTTTTATATGTTTGTTGTATTAATTAATAAGAATATTACTGTTTTTATACATTCATCATTTCATCAAAAAATTTTAAAAATATATATGTATTAAAAATATTAATTTTTTTAAAATTAATTATGAATATTGGTTTTTATGAAGTGTAAATTAGTGATATTGGTGAAAATGTATATAATTTTTTTTACAATATCAATATAAAAATTTATTATTTTTAAAATAAAATATAAATCCACTAAATATTTTTTTTAAATGGCAAATCTGTGATGGAGTGTTTTTATTTTAATCTAGGGGTTCAATCAATGGAGCTTTTAACCTCCAAATAAAAATGAATTGTTTTATTTATATTTTTATAATTAAAATTATCAAGATTTAAATTTTAAAATTAAAATTTTAATATTTTATCTAATGATATATTCTAGTAACAAGTATAAATCACCATAAAAATTTCAAATTTTAATTCATTTAATTTATACAAACATTTTTTAATGACTATTTAATAAATTTAAAATTTAAATTATATTATTTTCCTATTTCACCTGCGATCTACTAAAATTATATTAAAAAAATTTATAAATGCATAGTACTAACTTTTATATTTGAACTGACGATCATTTAATCTAAGATTAATTAAGAAAGAATTAAAGTTATGAATTTTAAATTACAGTAAAATTTTTAATATGATATTTAAATTATAAATATATAATTAATATTATACTTATTTTTAATATAAGCTAATTTTAAATGATAATTCATAGTAAATAATTTTTAAATATTATATTAATTAATATAGTAATAATTTAAATATTATATTAAAAATTTTTAAATTAAAATATCATATTAAACGTTAACCAATCATTTAAGGAAAAAGTTAAAGTTAGGCCGATGAAGCACACGTGGCACAGCGGGAGAGGAAGGTCAACTTTGGCCTGGCCTGGCCTGGGTCTGATCTTCCAAAGCTGTGGAAACTGGGAAAAGTGTTGACTGGGGCAGGCTAGGGGCGGCCTTCCTTGCTGTCGGTTGTTTTCATTCGTTAATAAAAAAACGTTTGTTTTGTCTAAGTGAGTAGAGGAAAGAGACCAAACAAAGCTTGTAATTAGATTCGTTAGCTCATAAGTGAACGAAAGAGGGCGCATATTTTCGTTGGCAAACGTGGCCAGTTGTAGTACGGTGCCTACTCTTAGCTGTCCTTGACTTGCCGCCCTGCAGCATGGCAGCTCAGCTGCTTGAGGTCGTCAAGCCACCGTAACCCTTGATTGTCCTAAAATTAGGAGAGTTTATAATTCTGATTTTAATCGAATTAATTAATTATATTAATTTAATTTAATTAATCAATTAATTATTAAATTAATTTTGATTAATTAATAAAAATAATTATAAAAAATTTTAATTTTCAATTATTTTGATTGAAAAATTAAATTAATCAAAATATAATATAATTTAGATATAAATAAAAAATAAATGAATTAAATTATTTAATTTCATAGGTTGTTAAAATTTTAAACATAATATTTTAGTATTAGAATATTTTGTTAAATAATTTTAGTTAATTTATTTAAAATATAAAAAATTAAAAGTTTAAAATATAATTTAATTTAAATATATTTATTATTTAATTAATTAAAAAAATTAATCGAATCGATCAAATTAAATTTAATCAATTAATTTTTAAAATTCATAAAATTGGTTTGTTTAATTTAAATACAATAATATAATCTGATTAATTTAATGTTAAATAAAATTGATTTAAAATTAATTGAATCAATCAAATAAATATTCTTACTTAAAACTGAACAAAAATACAGTTCACAGAAACAAAACAAAAGCATTTATTTAACAAAAATGCATTAATTCTTGGACGGTCCTATTTATATTCCACAGACAAGAAACTTGAATAAGAGTTGATACTATGAACCAAATGCATTTGAATGTCGACAACAGCTTTAAATTATAGAAAGCTTCCTTTTATTAATCTCCCTGCAGATCCAGATTAATCAGAATCATAAATTTTTGTTCCTTGTAAATTTAATGCATGTGATAATGATGTCTCGAGGAGCAACCGATTAGCTTCACCGACAAAGAATATATTATTACTCTTATATAGTTTTCGTTTCAAGTTTCCTATTAGCCAAACACCTCCTAGAATCTTTTCTTCTCTTGTGGACCTGAGAGATCACATTACAAACCTGAATACATAAAATAATACACCAAAATGCTATAGGAACAGGAGATTGTGAACCTGAACCCACTTGTAGCATGTAATGTTGCCGCACCGACATTGCTCCAATGCTATCAAGTGGATCATTGTAAGCTTCAGTTCTGCGAAAATATTACATCAGAATGGTTTATACAATAAATATAACATAACAATCATTTCCTTATAAATAATCAATGTTTTTACCTTTTATAAATAAATTACAATTCAAGTTGTAATTAAAATTTAATTTTCATTATTATTTATTTTAAATTGATCAAAATTAAATTTTACCATTAGCTTTTAACATTTAACATTGATACTACATAAGAATAGAAGTTTGCTTTGATGTATTACCATTTAATAATTAATATTTAAAAAATTTAATTTAAATTATTATCAAAAGATCAAATTTCAATTTTATACATTATCTTTCTAATATTACAATACTACATTAAATAAAAGATTTTCTTTCTATCTCATGAGAAAAGAATTTGTGTTACTTTCAATTAATTAATTCATATAAAAAACATATTTTAAAAAATTATTATTTATCAATATCAAAATTTTTTATATATGATCGATTTCTTTTTTAGGTAGCAAACTCTCTATGGTTACATAATTTGATTTCTGTAGTAGCAGAAATTGGTCAACATGTGAAACTTTCAACACCTTATGAGATCTGAGATGTGTATTTAGAGTCTAAATATCAACAAATTCATGAATGTGTTAATGGATTAAAAGCTCATTGGAATGAATTGGGTGCTACTTTAATGTGTGATGGTTGGACCAATAGTTTCAATCAAATGCATATCATTAATTTCCTTGTTTATTGTGTAAATGGAACCATTTTTTAAAAATTTATAGATGTCTCGAGTGTTCATAGTAAAAATACAAACCTTTACTATAGATTATTGGATGAAGCTATGAAACAAAATTAGAAAAAAATACATTGTTCAAATAGTTATTGATAATAAGGCAGTACTTAAGGCTGCAAGAAAAGACTAATAGAGAAGAGACAACATTTGTAGTGAACAACATGTTCAAATCATTGTTTGACTTGTGCTATGAGGATATTGGTAAGAAAAAAATATGGCAAAGGTTTTGGATGATGCAAAAAAAAGTTGTTTGTTTTATATACAATCATATTTGGACTGTTAATTTGATAAAGAAATATACACAATGGAAGCAAATACTTCATCTTGCTCTTATCTGATTTGTAACTCATTTTATACAGTTAAAAGAAATAATAAGGCAAAAACAAGATTTAAGAGAGATGTTTAATTTAAAGGTTAGTACTTAGTAATTAGTACAACTATTTAAATTTAGCATCTTTTTATGATATCATTGTTTAAAATATTAATTTAAAATATATTACTCTAAAAATTTATTGATGAATATATATATATATATGAATTTAAAGAATCAAAATGAAAACAACAAAAATCAGGGCCTACTTATGAAGCCAACAAAATCATTTTGGGAAAAGATTTTTCAAAAAAAGTAAGTGATACAACAAAAGCTTATGAGCCTTTAGTAAAAGTGTTGCGCTTTGATGAAGAAATATACATAAGGGAAGCAAATACTTCGTCTTGCTCTTATCCGATTTATAACTCATTTTATACAGTTAAAAGAAATAATAAGGCAAAAGGCAAGGTTTAAGAGAGATGTTCAATTTAAATGTTAGTACTTAGTAATTAGTACAACTATTTAAATTTAGTATCTTTTTATGATATCATTGTTTAAAATATTAATTTAAAATATATTACTCTAAACATTTATTGATGAATATATATGAATTTAAAGAATCAAAATAGGAACAACAAAAATCAGGGTCTACTTATGAAGCCAAAAAAAATATTTTGGGAAAAGATTTTTCAAAAAAAGTAAGTGATACACAAAAGCTTATGAACCTTTAGTAAAAGTATTACGCCTTGTGGATGGTGATGAAAAACCAACAATGAGATTTATTTACGAGGCTATGGATAGAGCTAAACAAGCAATTCAGTAAAAATATCATTATTATGTTGAATATGAAAAGATTATTGATAATAGATGAAGTTTCATGCATTATGAGTTACATTTGGTAAGTAAATCAAGAATATAGATTGTATTTAAAAATATATGTTTATTTTTTATGTTTAAATTGCTTATATATTTATTTTTTATTACTTTAATATAATATTGTTATGAATTATGTTTAGGTTACTATCTAAATCCACAATTTCAATTTGAAGTGGAGCATTTTATAAATGTACTTAAAGAAACATTAAACGG